TCTCTCACCCCATCTTCAACCTGCTATCTCTCACTCGCATGTTAACCTGCTATCTCTCCCATGCTAACCTGCTATCTCTCACTCATGCTAACCTGCTATCTCTCACCCATACTAACCTGCTATCTCACCCATGTTAACCTGCTATCTCTCACTCATGCTAACCTGCTATCTCTCACCCACCTGCTATCTCTCACCCATGCCCTAACCTGCTATGTTAACCTCACCCATGCTAATGCTATCTCTCTCACCCATATTAACCTGCTATCTCTGCCTAACCTGCTATCTCTCTCGTGTTAACCTGCTATCTCTCACTCATGCTAACCTGTCTCACTCGTATTCCCTATCTCTCTTTCATGCTAACCTGCTATCTCTATCTCTCACCATGCTAACCTGCTATCTCTCACTCATGCTAACCTGCTATCTCTCACTCATGTTAACCTGCTATCTCTCACTCGCATGCTAACCTGCTATCTCTCTCTATCTCTCCTCATGCTAACCTGCTATCTCTCACCCATGTTAACCCTTGCTTCCATCTCTCTATCTCATGCTATCTCTCACCATATTCGCCTGCATGTTATCTCTCACCCATGCTATCTCCTCACCTAGCTATCTCTCACCCTCATGCTAACACATGCTATCTCTCTCACCATGCTAACCTGCTATCTCTCCTCATCCATATCTCTCCTGTATTAACCTGCTATCTCTCACTCATGCTAACCTGCTATCTCTATCTCTCACTAACCTGCTATCTCTCTTTCACTCAGTGTTAACCTGCCTCTCACTCCTTGCTAACCCTGCTATCTCTCACCCATATGCCAACCTGCTATCTCCTCGTGTTAACCTGCTATCTCTCATCTAACCTGCATCTCTCCTCATGCTAACCTGCTATATCTCTACCTGCATACTCCTTCAACCTGTCTCTCTTACAACCTGCTATCCTCTCACCATAACCTGCTCCTCATGCTAACCTGTATCTCTCTCGTGTTAACCCTTTCCTATTTAACTGCTATCTCTCCTAACCTGCTATCTCACCCATGCTAATGCTATCTCTCACTCGTGTTAACCTGTTAACCTGCTATCCTCTCCACCCTTGTTAACCTCACTCATGCGTGTTAACCTGCTATCTCCTCATCTAACCTGCTATCTCCTCCTTTCTTCTATCTCTCCACCCATGTTAACCTACTATCTCTCACTCTAACCTGCTATCTCCCATCCTCCGTGTTAACCTAACCTGCTATCTCTCCTCAAAGTATTTAACCTGCTATAACCTGCTATCTCTCGTGTTAACCTGCTAACCATCTAACCTGCCTCGTGTGTGCTAACCTGCTATCTCTCATCTCTCTGCACTGCTCTCTCACTCATGCTTAACCTGCTATCTCTCCTCCTAACCTGCTATCTCTCATCTCACCATGTTAACCTGCTGCTAACCTGCTCATCAACCTCCTATGTTAACCTGTTAACCTGCTTATCTCCTATCTCTCATGCCCTTTATATGCCCAGCATTAACCTGTCACTAACCTGCTATCTCTGCTATCTCTCACTCATGCTAACCTGCTATCTCTCACCCATGTTAACCTGCTATCTCTCACTCATGCTAACCTGCTATCTCTCACTTATATTAACCTGCTATCTCTCACTCATGCTAACCTGCTATCTCTCCACTCGTGTTAACCTGCTATCTCTCACTCCTTACTAACCTAAACTTATCTCTCTACCCATATTAACCTGCTATCTCTCACCCATGACCCAACCTGCTATCTCTCACTCATGCTAACCTGCTATCTCACTCATACTAACCTACTATCTCTCCCTCGTAACCTGCTATCTCCTACCCATAGCTAACCTGCTATCTCTCACTCATAACTAACCTGCTATCTCTCACCCATGTTAACCTCTATCTCTCCTCGTGTTAACCTGCTATCTCTCACTCATGCTAACCTGCTATCTCTCACCCATGTTAACCTGCTATCTCTACTCGTGTTAACCTGCTATCTCTCACTCAGTGTTTAACCTGCTATCTCTCCTCATGTGTGCTAACCTGCTATCTCTCACGCAGTAGCCTGCTATCCTCTCTCCTCGTGTTAACCTACTATCTCTACATGATGCCTTGCCCTCTCACTCATACTAACCTGCTATCTCTCACCCATGTTAACCTGCTATCTCTCACTCGTGTACCAGCCTGCTATCTCCTCACTCGTGTTAACCTGCTATCTCTCACTCGTGTTAACCTGCTATATCCTCTCTCCTCGCTGCTAACCTGCTATCTCTCACCCCATGTTAACCTGCTATCTCTCACTCATACTAACCTGCTATCTCTCACTCGTAATTATATAACTGTATCTCTCACTCATACTAACCTGCTATCTCTCACCCATATTAACCTGCCTATCTCCCTCACCCATATTAACCTGCTATCTCTCACTCATCTAACCTGCTATCTCTCACCTCATGCTAACCTGCTATCTCTCACTCGTGTTAACCTGCTATCTCTCACCCATGTTAACCTGCTATCTCTCCTCATGCCTAACCTGCTATCTCTCACTTATGTTAACCTGCTATCTCTCTCCACTCGTGTTAACCTGCTATCTCTCCTTATGCTAACCTGCTATCTCTCACCCATATTAGCCTGCTATCTCTCCTCGTGTTAACCTGCTATCTCACTCGTGTTAACCTGCTATCTCTCACTCATGCTAACCTGCTATCTCTCACTCATGCTAACCTGCTATCTCTCTCACCCCTTTATTAACCTGCTATCTCTCCTCGTGTTAACCTACTCTACTCGTGTTAGCCTGCTATCTCTCACTCATGCTAACCTGCTATCTCTCACCCATATTAGCCTGCTATCTCTCTCCTCGTGTTAACCTGCTATCTCTCCCTCATGCTAACCTGCTATCTCTCACCCATATTAACCTGCTATCTCTCACTCGTGTTAACCTGCTTTATCTCTCACTCGTGTTAACCTCTATCTCTCACTCTGTGTTAGCTTCTATCTCTCACTCATATAACCTGCTATCTATGCCACTTATGTTAACGCCTGCTATCTCTCACTCCGTGTTAACCTGCTATATCTCTCACTCGTGTTAACCTGCTATCTCTCACTCATGCTAGCACCTGTCTCTCCACACCCATATTAACCTGCTATCTCTCTCTCGTATTAGCCTGCTATCTCACTCGTGTTAACCTGCTATCTCTCATCATGCCTAACCTGCTTTCTCTCTCACCATATTAACCTTACTATCTCTCACTCCTTGCTAACCTGCTATCTCTCCTCGTGTTAACCTGCTATCTCTCACTCATGCTAACCTGCTATCTCACCCATGTTAACCTGCTATCTCTCTCTCACCCATGTTAACCTGCTATCTCTCCTCATACTTTAGCACTATCTCTCACTCATGCTAACCTGCTATCTCTCACTCGTGTTAACCTGCTATCTCTCACCCATATTAACCTGCTATCTCTCCTCATGCTATGCTATCTCTCACCCATGTTAACCTGCTATCTCACTCGTGTTAACCTGCTTCTCTCTCCTCCTTGCTAACCTGCTATCCTCTCACCCCATGTTAACCTGCTATCTCTCACTCTGTGATAACCTGCTATCTCTCACTCGTATTATATACTATCTCTCCTCATGCTAACATAACCTCCTGCCCATGTTGCCTGCTCTCCTCCTCACTCATGTGTTAACCTGCTATCTCTCCTCATGCCCTAACCTGCTATCTCTCACCCATGTTAACCTGCTATCTCTCACCCATATTAACCTGCTATCTCTCCTCATGCTAACCTGCTATCTCTCACCCATGTTAACCTGCTTCTCTCTCACCCATATTGTACTATCTCCTACTATATTTAACCTGCTATCTCTCCTCACTTGTGCTAACCTGCTATCTCCTCATGCTTCAACCTGCACTATCTCTCTCCTCGTGTGCCTTTATCTCTCCCATAGTAACCTGCTATCTCTCACTCATGCTAACCTGCTATCTCTCACTCATGCTAACCTGCTATCTCTCACTCATGTTAACCTGCTATCTCTCACTCGTGTTAACCTGCTATCTCTCACTCGTGTTAACCTGCTATCTCTCACTCGTGTTAACCTGCTATCTCTCACTCGTGTTAACCTGCTATCTCTCACTCATGCTAACCTGCTATCTCTCACCCATGTTAACCTGCTATCTCTCACTCATGCTAACCTGCTATCTCTCACTCATGCTAACCTGCTATCTCTCACTCATGTTAACCTGCTATCTCTCACTCATGTTAACCTGCTATCTCTCACCCATGCTAACCTGCTATCTCTCACTCATGCTAACCTGCTATCTCTCACTCATGCTAACCTGCTATCTCTCACTCATGCTAACCTGCTATCTCTCACTCATGCTAACCTGCTATCTCTCACTCATGCTAACCTGCTATCTCTCACTCATGTTAACCTGCTATCTCTCACTCATGCTAACCTGCTATCTCTCACTCATGCTAACCTGCTATCTCTCACTCATGCTAACCTGCTATCTCTCACTCATGTTAACCTGCTATCTCTCACTCGTGTTAACCTGCTATCTCTCACTCATGTTAACCTGCTATCTCTCACCCATGTTAACCTGCTATCTCTCACTCATGCTAACCTGCTATCTCTCACTCATGTTAACCTGCTATCTCTCACTCATGCTAACCTGCTATCTCTCACTCATGTTAACCTGCTATCTCTCACTCGTGTTAACCTGCTATCTCTCACTCGTGTTAACCTGCTATCTCTCACTCATGTTAACCTGCTATCTCTCACTCATCATAAGCTGTTACTAGGTTTACTTATGAGTGTTTTCTGTCTTTCACGATACCCAGTTATCTCTCGATCCCAAATGCCAGTTATCTTTCACTCATGGCCGTCTGCTATCTCTTACTCATTATATCCTTCTATGTCCCATTAATGGCCGTAAGTTATCTACCTCCCAGGCCGCTTCATCAGCTCTTCAATACCCCCCTCCTCCCCCACTCCTAACAGCTAGCAGACTTAGAGGGCCACCCCCTGATGGTGAAGACCTTCCCCTTCCCTCCCTCTGTGTTCGTCGAGGGGGAGGAAGGGGGCAGTTTACATCCCTTAGGAGGCCAAGACGTGTCCTTCATCATATTGCTGGCTCGCTACCTCAACTTCACGGTGCAGTGGAGACACCCAGGGCCCAGCCTCTGGGGCCGCCTCTACGACAACGGCACCTACACCGGCATCGTCGGCCAGGTGAGCCACCAGGACAAGTCACTGATGGTCAGAGGAGGTCAACAGGTGTGATGGTTCCTGGGGTAATGATTGGTTACTGTGAGTGTACTGCCTTGTGGCACCCACACTAACTGTTAGGTCAGTAAGTCTCAGAGGCAATGATTTGTGGGCGATAGTTGGAGATTAAATGGCACGAGATGATTACAAAATGATGCCACAATTAGTGCTAACAATCTGTGGAGATGTCAGATCCGTTTTAAAGGCCGGCAATTTAACATGTTGAATAGATGGCCTAACGATGCTACTGTCAGCGGAGCTTTATTATCATCTGGTATTTGAAATGCCTCGTAATGAGGAAGAAACGTTTCATTGAGAAATATAAATAACTTTCAATGTTCATTATATATTATTGTTATTAATGTTTAAGAATGTATGAGTAAATTATCTAATTTTCTCGGCTGGATTATAGGAGTACTAATTGTTTCCCCTTATGTTGTCTTGCTACAGAGAGTGTGTATGTCAGTCCCTGATGAAGCACTCACGTGGTACGATTGTATAAAAGCTTACAAATATCTTCCCACGGCCAGTGTTGACACGTTATGTGAGCTAAAATGTTAAAAAATTCCACCCACAAGCCAACTGAACCTTTCGTTTACAAGTAGTGTCATGTTAGTGTACAATCAAAGACAAAACCCGTGTCGCGGTTTTGTCCGAAGATTAAATATAACTCATGAAACATTATGAGAGCCCCCTACCACAAGGCAGAGCGGACCAAAAGTTTTAGCCCACCGGCATATGTTTTCACCAAATTTCACGACACGACTTTTGTCTTTCATTACAGAGCTCCTCCTCCCTATAAAATAAACAAAATAAAAATAAAACAAAATACACGTAAAACAAAAAATGTCTAAGTACTTGATCACTATTATGTCTAAATTTGAACTTGCTCACTAAAATATAGGGCCTGAGTTAACGCCCAGATGATGACACAAGATAAAAACAAAAATAGAGTAACCACAGAGTACACCTTACCCCTCCTCCTGTGTGTGTGTGTGTGCAGTAGCTAGTTGGCATGGGGGCCTTAAAGTGAAATCTAAGGCATCTATTGGTTCATTAATCGCTCAGAATTGGATATAGAGGACGCTGATTGGGTGAGCCCATGGGTCCTATCCGCGATGATTGGTTGGAAAAGACGAAAAAAAAAAATCACGATGGAAATATCACCTACCAATGAAAATCAGGGTACGCGTGGTGAGACTCTCCTTTACAATGTTCACCAGGCACTCAAATGTATTCCACCAGAAATTTGGGGATATTATAAAGGGTGTAAATATTTGATTAGATAACAGACAGTCGACAACGTTCTCATTTAGTAAATTTTCTTCTTATTAAGTTTTGAGAGAGAGAGAGAGAGAGAGAGAGAGAGTTAATATCCACATAAATAAAACATCAAGGCTAGCACAGGGTCTAAGAAACAGATTATAAACATTACAAACACCTAAGACCTGATTTCTTCCTTATAGATAATAGAAAACGAGAAGAGCTTGAAACCGGGGACTAAAATATAAATGCACACGGAATACTGTATACCAATATTCTACAAGTCCAATATTTTTCCCCCCTCTATGTTAAAGGTTGGGGTCATCATTTACCTTTGACGTGGGCATGAATGATTCTGGCCAGGTCAGAAGAATTATGTATTTTCTGTTGACACTCCCATTACGGGCGCGTGATGCTGCTAACATGTCCTCGGTGATATATTGACGACGACAATATTTATAAACAGGGGATGAGAGAGAGAGAGAGAGAGAGAGAGAGAGAGAGAGAGAGAAACACAACTTCAGTCAATTTTTTGTTCCAGTTGCGTTTGGTTAACTCAATTCCCTCTTTGTTAACCCGACTGATGGATGTATCGTTTAGCGCGCGAGGGAGGTATTTTTTTCATGTTGGGTTTAAAAATTTTCCTCAAGGTGGAACTCATAGAAGACGAAACATTGAGTGGGACTTGTGACTCTTGAAGGTAATATTAGTGGTGACAGAACTGGTGTCTGTAATGATATAGAGCGGCAGTAGTAATCTTGTTCCTGCTTCTTTCTTGGTTCCCCTATCTTCCTCCTGTGTCCTTCCTCTTCCTCACTCCCAAGTTCTCCTTGTCTTCTCTACCTTCAAAAGGCTTCACTTTCTCTTAGTTTTCTAGTTTTTCAGGTGTTCATAACCTGTATCTGACTCAGTGTGTGTGTGTGTGTGGGCAGGTGGGCGTGGGAGACGGGGACATAGGTGTGGGCAACATATTCCTTGACATACGACGCATCTACTTCGCCAAGTTCACCTACCCTTACACGTATGAGCATGCGTGTTTCATCACCCCAGTGCCTCGAGAGCTGCCCCGATGGATGGCTCTGGGGTCTCCCTTCTCCCTGGTGGTCTGGAGCACCCTGGCGGCCACCCTGGGAGTCGTCACCCTCATTTACCCGGCCATCGCCCGCTCTCTTGTCCACCTGCCGGATCACCCTCAGTTCTACAGGTAAGTGTCAATCAGGATCAGAATTCTTAAAATTTCTTGCGCAAAATATACACCCTAACTGGAGATCTGAGAAGGTATCCGCCTTATTCCCTTTAGCTATAGTATAAAGATGGTGGACCAAAGCATGTCGAATACTGTACGGATACTCATAGGACACACAAGTGTGACTTATTTATGTTTGGGAAAAAGATTTGTGTAAGGCTGAAAGTGGGTGAGGGACAGGTGGTGTACACATATGACTGAATCTCTAGCTCTGAAGGTGGCGCTGAATTATTGAGGAAAGGTTATGATCGCGCGGAATGAGGGGAATGTGGTGGTTGAGGTTGTGTGGGCAAGTGGTGACTGAAGGAGTGTGGCTGTGAAGGGGGAGGGGACCATTGGAGTAAGGAGAATATTGCTGAAGGAATAAGCTACAGTACAGGTGATTGTATTTGATGGAGGTGGTGTTAAGGCCAAATGGTCCAGAATTCTGAAGGTGTTTCTGGTGGTAGCGGGGAGATTGTAAGAGAATGTAAACACCACGTCAGTTCCTTCCAGTAGTGTGGTAGTTGTGGTGTGACAGCGGTGGTGGTGGTGTATGTAGCACTACTCCATGTGCGTGTATGTAAGAGTGGTAGTATCGGTGGTGACGAGGAGAGGGGGAGTTGCTGTTAAAGGTCGGTGTTGAGCAATAAATAGTGGAGTGTGGAGGGTATGTTGGCTCTGGCAGCGTGACGAGTGTGTGCTCCTGTGTGGGTAAACACTGACACTGACACGATAACTTTTTACTAGAGTTCAATATGAATCTGTGATGTTGTCAGTAGGACATTTTTTCCTCTTACTAGCGTTTGAGTTTCATCTTTTTTTTTTTGCCAGTTCCCCCCATCTCTCTCATTCTCGTCCCCTCTCTCCCACTACTCGACTTTTTTTCCCTCGTTCCCTCTCATTCGCATTTCACTAAACCATAATGTAAACTGCTGTAATATTTGAGAGACATTGTGTACTAGTTATATCCCATCACCAACTTTCTCGGTGATGGGTATTTCCATCTATATCTCATGTTCTTCATTCATTCTCTACCCTCTGTTTCCGTGTTAGTATGTATCCTATGATTGTATATACAGTCTTCTCTCTATTAACCTACACCCTGTCTGTTATTATATTCCCTCTGTCTTATTATATACCCTCCTCCTCGTGTCGGTGGTGTGGGTCAACAGCTGGGGCAGGGCGTTGGTGTACACGGTGGGCATGTTGACGTGTCAGAGCCAGCGAGGACCAGCCACCACCAGGCTCCGGGTACCCACCATCCTCATGCTGCTAATGGGCTTCGTTGTCGGCGTCAGCTTCAGTGGCAACCTCACCGCCTTCATGACCACCAGGGTGTGTGTGTGTGTGTGTGTGTGCCAATAATTACTAGGGTGATAATGAGGACGACTAACCATCTCCTAGGGTGATCCTCTAGTAAATAAGACGAAGTTCATTTCGCAGTAACTAGAAATCTTTGGCTAGGGAGATGCTATGGTAACTGAAGTAATTATAGGGTGATGCTATGGTAACTGAAGCACTTATAGGGTGATGCTATGGTAACTGAAGCACTTATAGGGTGATGCTATGGTAACTGAAGCACTTATAGGGTGATGTTATGGTAACTGAAGCACATATAAGATGATGCTATGATAACTGACGCACTTATAGGGTGATGCTATGGCAACTGAAGCACTTATAGGGTGATGCTATGGTAACTGAAGCATTTATAGGGTGATGCTATGGTAACTGAAGCACGTAGAGGGTGTTGCTTGTGTCTCAACGCCAGTTATTACCTACAGCAAGTTACAACACTCACCCATATCAACAGAGGGTGGAAATGGCGGAGAGAAGGAGGGATGGATAGGTGGAAGGATGGAGGGGGAGTAAAATGGATGGATGGAAGGAAGAAGCGGTGGATGAGTGGAAAGAGGAACGGGTGGATAGGTTGAAAGGTAAAGGGGATTAAGGCAGCAGAGGTGGAGGGGAGCATGGGTGGAGGAAAACAGGGGTGGAGGAAAATAGGGGTGGAGGAAAATAAGGGTGGAGGAAAATAGGGGTGGAGGAAAATAGGGGTGGAGGAAAGAGGTGGAGGAAAACAGGAGGAAAACAGGGGAGGAAAACAGGGGGGGAGAAATAAGGAATAGGGTGGAGAAATAAAGGTAGAGAAATAGGGGTGGAAGGAGTAGCAGGGGTGGAGAAACAGGGTGGAGGGGAGGAAAACAGGGAGGAAATAAGGAGAATAGAGAGTTGGAGAAATAGGAATTGAGAGAAATAGGGGTGGAAGGGTGGCAGGGGTGGAGGAAACAGGGGTGGAGAAGCAGAGATGGAGAAACAATTGGAGGGAAACAGAGGTGGAGAAACAGAGGTGTGGGAAACAGAATTGGAGAGCAGGGGTGGAGAAACAGAGGTGGAAACAGAGGTGGAGAGTGGGGGTGGAGGAAACAGGGTGGAGGGAAACTGGGGTGGAGGAAACAGAGATGGAAACAGAGGTGGGAGGAAACAGAGGTGTGGAGGAAACAGGGTGGAGAAACTGGGGTGGAGAAACAGAGGTGGAGAAACTGGGGTGGAAGGGTAGCAGGGGTGGAGGAAACTGAGGTCGAAATGAACAGTGCACGATGCCAGGCGTGGAGCCGGCAATCAGGACGCCCTGGCGGAACTGGACAAGAGACGGCCTCACGGTGGTCAGTTATCAAGACGGACCACCATCTTCAAACTCCGAACAACCCCAACGTCCGTGCCTCACTACCAATTACAAGGCCGTGGAGGACACTAATCCTACTTCAGGTGAGAGAGAGAGAGAGAGATTTCCAAATATAGTTACAGTTCAGTTATTCTATATCCTCATGTACCAACTACCCGTGCATCATCTTAACCTTACCCTCCTCCCACTACCCGTGCATCTCTTAACACCCTCCTCTCCACTACCGTGCATCATCTTAACTTACCTCCTCTCCACTACCCGTGCATCATCTTAACACCCTCCTCCCCCTACCCGTGCATCATCTTCTTACCCTCCTCCCCACTACCCGTGCATCATCTTAACTTACCCTCCCTCTCCACCCGTGCATCATCTGTACCTCCTCCCTACCCGTGCATCATCTTAACTTACCCTCCTCCCCACTACCCGTGCATCTTAGTGCCTCCTCCCCCTACCCGTGCATCCCATCTTAACTTACCTCTCCCACTACCCGTGCATCATCTTAACTTACCCTCCTCCCCTACCCGTGCATCATCTTAGCTACCCTCTCCCACTACCGTACATCATCTTAACTTACCCTCCTCCCCACACCCGTGCATCATCTTAACTTACCCTCCTCCCCACTACCCGTGCATGCAGCATCTTAACTCCCCTCCTCCCCACTACCCGTGCATCAAGACCTCCTCCCCACTACCTGTGCATCAAGACCTCCTCCCCACTACCCGTGCATCAAGATCTACTTCCTCCCCACTACCCGTGCACCTAACCCTCCGGCCTGCCATCAACAGAGAGATCAGCGAGAAGCGAGACATGGTACTCATCGAGAACAGGAACCATCTCGAGTTCCTCCAGAAGAGATTTTACACCACCAGGAGAGGCGAGTCCCCCCTCAGGATACAGGAGGAGTGCCTGGCTACCTTCGGCGTCAGTGCGGTTCTCAACATGCAGTCCCCTCTAACACCCTACGTGGATAAGGTCAGGGACACACTAGGTGGATAGAGTGTGTGTGTGTGTGTGTGTGTGTGTCAGGAGAGAGAGAGAGAGAGATATGGTGACCCTCCCTCCCACTTGACCACGATAAGATAATCACCACTTGAGCCATGGTAACTACAGTTAGGCCTACTGGCGTAATCACCTTATCCCCCCTTTAGTATAAACCTATAACATGATGACTCAGGCACTTAACAACAACAGCTGATAGTCATAGATACATAGTAATCCTCCCGTCTCAGGCATTAATCCTCCCGTCTTTAGTATTAATCCTCCCGTCTTTAGTATTAATCCTCCCGTCTTTAGTATTAATCCTCCCGTCTTTAGTATTAATCCTCCCGTCTCGGGCACTAATCCTCCCGTCTCGGGCACTAATCCTCCCGTCTCGGGCACTAATCCTCCCGTCTCGGGCACTAATCCTCCCGTCTCGGGCACTAATCCTCCGTCTCCGAGCGCCTAATCCTCCGTCGCCAGCATTAATCCTCCGTCGCCAGCATTAATCGCCTCCCCGTCGCCAGCAGCATTAATCCTCCCGTCTCCAGCATTAATCCTCCCGTCTCCAGCATTAATCCTCCCGTCTCCAGCATTAATCCTCCCGTCTCCAGCATTAATCCTCCCGTCTCCAGCATTAATCCTCCCGTCTCCAGCATTAATCCTCCCGTCTCCAGCATTAATCCTCCCGTCTCCAGCATTAATCCTCCCGTCTCCAGCATTAATCCTCCCGTCTCCAGCATTAATCCTCCCGTCTCCAGCATTAATCCTCCCGTCTCCAGCATTAATCCTCCCGTCTCAATTAATCCTCCGTCGTAGCATTAATCCTCCCGTCCCAGCATTAATCCTCCCGGTCCTCCAGCATTAATCCTCCGGTCGTTAATCCTCCGTCTCAGCATTAATCCTCCGTCTCAGGCATTAATCCTCCTCTCAGGCATTAATCCTCCGTCTCCAGGCATTAATCCTCCCGTCTCAGGCATTAATCCTCCCGTCTCCAGCATTAATCCTCCCGTCCCCAGCATTAATCCTCCCGTCTCCATCAGGCCATCCACTACATGCAGGCCGGGGGGTTGACAGACAAGATGTTCAAGGAGGTGTTGACACAAGGCCTCCAATCCACCGTTGATGATGGCCTCCACGACGACGAGGACGACGACCGACCCTCCTGGCTGAGTCTCCACGACCAGGACCGCATTGCCAGTGGTCCTCAGGTGGGTCTCCAAGGGCCAGTGTGTTATTGGTCACCATGCATCACTGATATATGAGAGAGAGAGAGAGAGAGAGAGAGAGAGAGAGAGAGAGAGATTCAGTAAAGTGTTGTTTCTCCTGTAGGTGCTGACGGTGGAGCACATGCAGGGGGCGTTCATCGTGCTGGGTGTAGGTTACCTGGCCGCCGTCCTCAGCCTTGTGACAGAACTGGCATCCAGGTGTTGTGCTTCGTGAGTCTCTTTCCTCCATACGACGCATTAAGGAATACTACCTTGACCCAACCTGACACCATACCCCTCTTCCCCCCTCCCCTCACCTAGTACAATAACTCTACCTTGGGAAGTGACCCTTGCAATGATGACTGACCCCCGCAACGATGACTGATTCCTGCAATGATGACTGACTCCTATAACGATGACTGACCCCTGCAATGATGACTGACTCCTATAACGATGACTGACCCCTGCAACGATGACTGACCCCTGCAATGATGACTGACTCCTATAACGATGACTCACCCCTGCAACGATGACTGACCCCTGCAACGATGACTGATTCCTGCAACGATGACTCACCCAACGATGACCGATTCCTGCAACGATGATTGACCCCTGCAATGATGACTGACTCCTATAACGATGACTCACCCCTGCAACGATGACTGACCCCTGCAACGATGACTGACCCCTGCAACGATGACTGACCCCTGCAATGATGACTGACTCCTATAACGATGACTCACCCCTATAATAATGACAGATCTCTATGGTATGTAAGACTAACCCACATAATCTTATCACATCATCAACAATAAATGTCTCAGTCAAAAACAGATCATTTCTCCCTATATATAATATACTTAATTACCTCAATATTATGGATACAAAGTGTTGGTTTAAGTCATCCACGTAATGAACACAACGTCGCACTGGAATGGGATGGTGTTTTGAGGTGACATTACCAGAAGATATACTCGTTAACAAACTGCTGGAGGACCGTAATGTGTTGTGGTAGTCTTTATTGTAACAAAGAATCACATCTGGGGACAAGTATAGGGAAAAAATGTGTTACTTCTTGTGTGTGTGTGTGTGTGTGTGTGTGTGTGTGTGTGTGTGTGTGTGTGTTTTATTAGTCAGTGTGTTTGTGTAGTAGAAGGTGTAGTAATGGGGTGATGATATTCACTAAACACTTCATATGAGAAGGTTGGATTAAAAAATCTTTTCATTGTTGGTCAAGAGTCTACAAAGCTAACAGGGGCGCGTTTCTTGTTACTAGTGAAGTACCCGACGGACCTCGGTGAACACAATGCCGCGTTGGGCCGCAGGTTGTGGACGACACAGAACAGTGCCGCACTGCACCGCCGCATCCAGAGAGAAACGGACTTTACTGTAGATGGCTGGAAAAAATCAATGCATACAATGTTTATACCAGAACCCGTATTTAGACAACTGGAATCTAATTATCTAAATATTCACACCAGTTTGTGGTACAACTTGTATAATCATGGAAACAGATTTTTGTCGATGTGAGCATTACACACACACATGCTTCTACTTAATCCAATTACGTTCACAAATGATGCAGTGAACTTTCCCATAAAAACACAAACAGAACTAATTTAACAAATGCTTTCTGATCAGAATATACATATTCATAGACACAGTACAGCCGTATTTGTTACCATATTATGTAAATATTATAGCATATGATCAAGGCAGCCGAACATTAAAATGTACGTATGTGTGCGTGTGATATAAAATCATAGCAGATATCAAGGTTAATCAGCATGTGAAGTAGTACTATTGTATAAAATTTGAACGAAATCCGTTTATGACCCCAAGTGTCAAAAATCAAGCTATTAAGTCAGGCGAATTTTTGACGTCAAACGAAATTCTTTTATTTATTTATGTTATTTTTTAGTTATTTTTTTTTGGGGGGGGGGGATGAAAACTAACGTGTTTAAATATTAAAGATAGTCTGCAATATTTTTAAGAAAATGTATATTAAGGCGATTTAAAACTTACCGGCACAACGGAATTGACTTTTTAAATATTCTTAACATCTTTAATTATTTCGAAGGTCATTAATTAACACTAGTTAGTTAAATTTTTTAGTTGTAAACCCAGATCCTTATGTTACCAATTTTTGACACAACCTGTAGGGCGGTGGAGGCGATGTGCTAAAGACTTTATTGAAGGACATCCTGTAAGGAGACCAAAAAGTTCAAAAGCATTTGGTGAGGCCGACTGCCCCTGAGATGTGGTTCAGACACAAAAGAAGTCACAACGACGTGAACAAGGCCTCTCAGGTCGTTATCAAGCGAAAGCCTCAGACGTATCAAATTAGTGATATCAGAATTAGAACTTAGGGTGTGAGGACATTAAATTAAGGAACAACGCTCGAAAACGATAAGAGAAAATGACATGATTGTTACTGTTGGTCTGAGTGAAGTGAGCTGGGTCAAGAGACCAATGCTTACTGGAAACTGAAAGTCGGACTTCTGGAAAGACTGGTGAAAAACCCGTAATAAGGGGCGTAGCCTTCGATAGTGCCAAGAGCGGAGTTTTTAGGAATGAAAAGATGAAATTGCTGGAGCGCTTTGTGGTGTTGGAGTGAAGGAGAGTGGAAGGGAAGAAAGAGGTATAGCCGCAGTTAGTTGGCGAGGAGAGATAAATGAGTTACTCTTGTGAAACACACTATGTCTTTACTGTTGTCCTGTTAATGGTAACACACACACACACACACACACACACACACAGTAGAGAAAAACTATGAGTGAAAATCAATCAAGTCTCAATACCAAATCGGTCCATGGAGAGAGACGCGACTAAAGAAGCCAACTTTAATGATCAACACCTGTTAATCCCACGAACAAATTGGCAGCATAATAAAAAAAAACGAAAAAAAAAAAATATATATATATATATATATATATATATATATATATATATATATATATATATATATATATATATATATATATATATATATATATATATATATATATATATATATATATATATATATATATATATATATATATATATATATATATATATATATATATATATATATATATATATATATATATATATATATATATATAAACCGTAAAAAGAATAACAGAAAAATCCCAACTCAATTATTCATTTTAAAAATACAATCAGCTCAACGTAAGAATGAAAAAGAAAAAGGCAAAATTTTTTACTCTACATTTGATACCTAATAAACCAGCTAACAAACTCTAAACACAAGTGACTAAATTCCAATCCTAACATCCGATGAAAAGCAAATTCATAAAACTAATAAAAAAATATTGAGAGTTTACGAAATCTGACTTGAATGATTTTTAGGAGGAAAGTATTACTGAGTGGAGAGACATAAGTAGCGCCCCTCTCCCCCGCACTGGGTAGAGTTTAGAAGGTAAATCAGTGAACGAAGGAAACAAGTTTACATGGTGCTTTAGATAACGCTTGTCAGGTCAGATAATGGTATAAACACACCATGATATTAACAATCAAAATTACCCCGTCTGAATATTATATTTTCACCGGTGGAAAAAAATGTTGACAATTAGTACATCACATTTAAGATCAGTAAGGAACATCAAAAGACATTTTTACCCCCTGTAGTGAAGGTAATTATCGTAATGGTGATTTAGTTAATTACAAATTCAGTTATTCACACCTGACTTGATTTACGTAGTTGGGGCATAATGACAGCAATTAACCTTTCAATTAAGGTAATAGAACCAACTCGGACAAGTTATTACATCTACTTTAAGCTACACAAGGTCTACGCACGTGTATAATCGTCATTCACTTATTAATTCATCTGTGGTAGTCAGGGCGGGAACACTTTACACCTGACTCTTCTATACACAATAACTTCAACAGATATCATCAATATTTATCTTCTTCAAAATACGGACGAGAAAACTGTGCAAAGCTTCCATTTTGTGTGTTATTGTTATAATATTGTTCAGGTGTCTGTCTGTCTGTCTGTCTGTGATGATTTAGTGTCTCTTCATTCGTTGGGTATTGTTTGTGTGTATCAAGTTCATCATATGACTGACATTTACATTACATCAGATAATACAGTCCGAGTGTTTAAGTGGTCCATTGTGAGTACTTATAATAAATTTTAGCCTATATTTACACATTTATGGCCGGAGGATTTCAATTCCCTCCAAAATTAATAACAGTAAAAGACCTTGAATATATCATAATTAAATTCAATGACATGTAAGAGCCGGGAGATGTGTGTTGAGGCGGATTACTTACGACTTGAAGAAGGAAGTGTCAAAAAAAAACAAAAAAGAGAATTCCCAACGCACCTTCCACCCTGTTGTGCACTTTTACAAACCTATAAAAGACGGGAGTTGAGAAAAAAGAATTTGTTACACAGATGGGAGATACAGAACAGTGATGAGGAGATGTGGTCTTTGGAGATAGTGTTCGATGGGGAGATTAAATGTGCTTGAGAGAATAACAATCGAGATAAACTGAAGAGATATAGCCAGGTGTCCACAGGTGTCCACGTGTCCCTGGAACCCCGTGTAGGAGTGAGCAACTGAGGTGACACAGTGCTCCACCTGCTTGGGCAGTGTGAGCAGAGTAAGTTAACTATTCTGTGCTGTTGAATATTGACATTTCTCAGAGTTATGGCTTCGGCTTTGGGTTCAGGCTGAATGTTATGTCAGCGTGAGTGTCAAACAGACTAGGTTAGGTTTGGTTTTGGGGTTAGGTTAGGTTAGGTTAGGTTAGATGACACCAGAAGAATTTTAGGAGACTGAGAGACAGAAGTGGTGAGAGAGAAAGTAATGGGAGATAAGAATTTGAAAAAGAAGAAGTCAAATTGAAGAGAAGAAAAAGGAAAAGTTGGAAATTATGTTGAAAGCAATTGTCATACTTCACGGACCATGACAGACAACCACCACTTGTGAGATGTGAAAGAGACTATGACCAGGAGACTTGAACCACTGGATGATAGGGAGGAGGGAGGCATTTGAGAGTCTGAGGGATATTAAATTAAGTGGAATGTAAAAGGATGTGAACAGGGTCAAGTCTAAAGCTGCTCCAACTTGTGTACATGACTCTTGGTTTGGTAAAGTGACGTCAAGTATGTCGATAATGTTGACTTGTGTGCGTGCGTGTGCGTGTGCGTGTGTGTGTGTGTGTGTACGATATAATTAATGAAGGAAGGCTAACCCAGTGAGAGTAAACACCAGCACTAGTGACAGAGAAGGAAGGAAGGAAGGGATCTGGGCACCTCTTAAGCTCTCCTGTCAGTGC